TCTTCTATTATTGTCCTACGCACAGCACCGTGGTTTTCTTACGTGCAAACCGACATTGGAGGACCTTCTCGATGTTCAAAGGCGAGCGAAGTACGACCAAGCTGTAATGCATTATAAACACTAGCTCTTTGGTGGTGTTTCATTACAAAAAGTCAAATCAAGTTCATCGATTCACTGTTGTTGTGTTAATCCACGTCGAAAGTTGTAAACAATCATCCAACCAAAACCGTTTTTTTAAATATTCATTTTTTTGCTTACTTGAAACTTGGAAGTAACTGTAAACAACACAAATAGCGTTCGTACTGTAAAAAGTTCTGGGCGTGTTAATGCGCAAGAATCGAATATGAATTCGAAAAAATCTTATTTGTGCCAATTTGTACTTGCGCAAATATTTGTGTGGTGTATTTTGCGCATAATGCTAAAATATTTTAAATTTTATCGGCTCAAATGACATTAACGTTGCGAATTCTATAGACGTGTTTAGTGACCTCCCTATGATTGGACATAACGAATTGTCTTATAAGCATAACGTTATGTCTTATACTCTGTCTTATAAGTCTACATAAGAAACATATCTATCCGCCTGCTTCCATATCACTAAAAGAGCAAAAGTTCGCCAAATATAAAAGCCTAGTCTGGGTTGATAAACGTGTATGACAACAGAGTGTTTTGTTGAATTCCCCGTGACGCCAGCGCAATACATCTGGTATGACCATAAATGATCTTTGAACGTCAATGCACAGTGGTTCAAAACTGGAACAATTTACTGGAGCCTTCAGTTTTCGCTCAATTTGATTATTCTTTTTTTTAAATGAAATCTATTCAAATTTGCAAGAGACTAGTTGAGCCGAATTTTTGAATTTTTGGTTTTTGTACTAAATTTTTAAGGCGAAGTGCAGAAAAAGTAGCAATTTTGAAGAGATTCCAAACTTCTGTTAATAAATGTTACATAACAAAAATTATTTAAAAACAGTTGTAGGGTGCCCCCGAAACGGAAAAGGAAAAAATTTCACCAAAATTAAAAAAAATTGAGTTTTTAGAAATATGTTGGGTATGCAGTTTATAAATTAAATTTTAGTACAATAAAGGCAATTTGCAAGTGGCTAAAAGGTCGCGTTGATTTTTAATAATTTTTTCGCAACAATTTCAAGCACATCTGCATGCATTTGTTATATTATTAAAAATCAACGCGAACTCTTAGCCACTTTCCACTTGCACTTAACCTTTACATTGAAATTTTACATTAACACTTTTTACATTAAAATTTTGTTTCGTTTTGGGAGAACCCCGCAATTGTTTTCAACTAGTTTTTATTATGTTACATTTATTAACTGAACAGAAGAATCGAGTTTCCCAAAAATTGCACCCTTTTCTGCAATTTGCATACAAAAAATTAAACAAACAAACAAAAATTCAAAAATCGTGCTAAACAAGTCTCTTGCAAATTTTATTGGCTACCATTAAAAAAAATCAAATTCCAGTTTTGAGCCACTGTGCAATGTACAGATGAGTTTACTGCGGTCCTACTATGTACGCTGGTTTGTGTTAGTGAAATAGGCAATCAGCAAAGATGCTAAACAAATGCTAAGTCCTATTTAAATAGCTATGAAAGTTGAATTTCTATTACTTTGCCAGATTTTGCAGACAATATTCATAAAAATACAAATTTTGTAGAATGTTGATAATTTCATATTTCAACTGCTAGATCAGCAAAAATAATTTTAATTTAAATCGTTCTGCAATTTTCTATACGAATTAGTGTGTTACTACCTACCTAATAATAATTTTGCAATTTTAATTAGTTGATTTGTGACACCTCAATCTATTACTGATCTACATATATATGTATATATGTAAATAATTATTTACATGGAAGTAAATAAATACTTTTCTTGTGCTAAAATGTGATATTTATTATAGACATCCTCGTTGTCCGTTATCAATGAGTATTTTTTTCTCTTTTGGCATTGAAATAATCAACTAAAAGTTCATCCAAGCTAGCAGTTGACATTAAAAATTACTTTGTAAAAAATAGCCAAATTTTGTTTTAATATGTATGTACTGAGACACATATATTGTAGATACAGATGTGTGTATGTACGTACATACCAGGGATGTTGCGAATATTTGCATTCGCATTCCTTATTCGAATGATTCGCATCATTAAACGCATTCGCATTCGACATTCGCATTCGCACCAAATGATACGAATGTTTTGCGAATGCGAATGTGTACATAATATTGTTGAAATGGCTCTAAGTCTGTCCAACCAGCGTGGGGACAATAACCGGCTTTTAGCTTCAGTCGCTAAACGGTTAATTAGTATATCAAGCAACATTGATGGACCTTCGACAAGTACTGCTAAAAGTCGTATAAGCAACCGCAATCCGCGAAAGCGAGGGCGCGGATGTAGAATCTGGAGACCTTAAAAATGTGANTAGAAATAATTTTCGATTCCTCCCGCGAAAGCGAGGGCGCGGATGTAGAATCTGGAGACCTTAAAAATGTGAAATTAAAGCTCAACTGAAGGCCTATCTTAAAGAAAAATTAGCTCTTCTCAATGAAAATTCTCTCGATTGGTGGAAAACTAAACTAAAATACGACAAATTAACATGATCTGGCCCGCAAATATTTGAGCGCTCCACACGTCAGCGTTCCAAGTGAGCAATTGTTCAGTAACACCACAAGTCTTATTTCATGTACATATATGCCCTGGAATTGGACAACTCACTTAAAAATACTACTTTCTTTGTTACTTATCTGATGTTACTTTTTTAGTTTAAGCAATTTTTGCCGTTTTAGTTATATAGGGCTGTTCCAGCTCTCAAAAAAACGAAAAATTCATATTCATATTCTATTTAAATTTCTTAAAATGATTAAAATGCTTGTATATTTATTTCTTCAAGAAAATTTGCAGCAACAGCAAAGTACTTTTTCTAACAACAGAAATGATTTTTATTGAGAACTGGATTCTAAACTTAAATGGCTAGCTCATTTTATAACAAACACCTTATAAAACCACATTTCAAACTTCGGGCAAAAATTAATTTCAGAATTTTTTTGAATATGCAGTTTTATAGCCCTCAAAATTCTAGTACAATAAACTGCAAGTTTGAAGTTGCTAAAAGAACGCGTTGATTTTTGGTACTTTTTTATGCATTTTCTTCCATTCAGAGTATATTAATTTTTTTTTTTTTAGAAAAATATGTAATAGTCAGAAAAAAATTATCAAATATCAAAACGTTTTTTTTTAGCAACTTAAAACTTGCATTTTATTATTCTCGAATTTAATGGGGTGTGAAATTGCATACTCGAATCAAATTTTAAAAAATCTGATTAAAGTTGAAAATGTCATGAAACTTTGCCGGTTTTTTTATAATTTTTGCACAAAGTTTGAAATGCGGATTTATGTATATGCTCTTTGTTATATAATGCTCTAGACTTTTATGAAAAAATAATAAACATTAAACAACAAAAAAAAAAGTCAAAACGTTGCTGGTTTAAAGATTGCCGTATTTTGACAAGGCAATTTCGAAAATGTGTTTATATATTGTTGTTTTTCTCGCGAGGATACATCTCTTTTTTTTTTATTTCAACGTACCACCCTAACGTCATTAAATTTAAACTCTCCAAGAATCATTAGACTTTTGCTAACGTTTTTGCTGTTCAATAAATGAATATAAGCGCCCTTAGAGTCAACGCGCGAGACGTATATTCAGGGGTTGTAGTCGAAAGTTCAAGCTTTAATTTAAGCCTAAGTGGAAGGTTCTATTACCTTCTATCAGCTTCTCAAATATTGCAAAAAGCGCGATTTTTTCACACTTTGAGCACGTTTTTCTCAAAATCTGGAGCTGATAGAAACTTTATACTTACGGACTCGTAATCAGCACAAAAAAGTCTTTCAAAACAGCTTTAACATTTGTTGCATTTTGTTTTCTATTTTTGTTGGCCTGTATGATCTGATTGGAAAACATTATATAGCGGGGCGATAGCAAATTTGATGGCCTTTAGAGTGGTGGAAAACTTTAGAACTGGAGCTTAAAAAAAACTGAAAACGTGGTTTTTCCAGTTTGCAAAAATGATTATTTAGAAAAATCTCAAAAACCAGTAGTTTTTATATTTTTGATTTAATACTCGGATTCTGTGAGTTATTTTACTTAATGAAGTCGTTTACTCACGATTTTCATTTGTTTTGTGTACATTGCCTGAATGCATATGGTTTTCTAAATTTTCAAATGCAACATGCAAGTACTTACAGTTGTCCTATTTTAATAAAATTTGCCACAGCTTATTTTTAGAAGAAAATACACTTTTCCGCCCGGCAAACGGACGGTGTAATGTACCTATCATTTCAGTTCGTTAACCCCTCTGCTAAGCGCTAGATTTTACTTCAAGAAAACTGCAGGAAAATAGAATACATAAATATATGCATGTAAAAATACACAAAACAATTTTGTATTTCCTTTAACAGTTCAATCCATATGTACAATCATATTTTTATAGCCATTAAAATGGGTCAGAGCGATAATATTTACTGCAGTAGCATGCGTGCAAGAGCGAGCAGTGTTGTTTCAAAATAAAATAAAAGCTTGTAAAAAACGCGGAATATAAATATTATTTAGGTAATTATACATACATATATGGATTCCATGTTGTCATTTTCACTTCTTTAGAGATAACAAACAGCCCTTCTACCTACTTAAAAATAACTTATTGAATGTGGGCTTTGCTTTTGCTTTTATAGTTTTTAATCGCATATTAATTTTTGTATTCAAAAGTAGCGATTTAACAAACGGTTTTTGCTTGATTGCTTAAATTTTGGTAAAGTAAAAAAATTGAAATAAGCAGCGCGAAGTAACTAACTTCGCCTGAAAATATGCTATAAAATACACCCTTTGCAGCAACCAAATAAACTCGGCTAGGCAACAAACTGCTTACGTAAAATTTACTCATACCAAAAGATTTGTTTTCTATGTAAAATGTAAAGCAAACAAAAGATATGCGTGTATGTTTCCATGTACATTTTTTACAAAATTTACCAATTTTATTCTTAAACAAAGGATGTGTAAATGAGGAAAAGAAATCTACATAATATGCATAGGCAATGCCAATTTGTATAACCGATTTTAACAAATGAAAATTACGGCTAATTACAAAACTTTTTCCGAAACTAAAATCAAATATGTAAATGCACTACGATTCATGATAAGACACTAAAGGCAACATTTAGCTTCACAATTTTTCTGTTAATTCAGGCACAGCTTTAAACAAATCAGCCACTAGTCCAATATCTGCCACTTGGAAGATTGGCGCTTCAGGATCTTTGTTTATTGCTACAATGGTCTTAGAATCCTTCATTCCAGCCAAATGCTGAATGGCACCCGAGATGCCAACAGCGATATACAGCTCTGGTGCAACAATTTTGCCCGTTTGACCAATTTGCAAGTCGTTGGGCACATAGCCAGCGTCAACTGCAGCACGGGAAGCACCAACAGCTGCACCGAATTTATCAGCCAGATCATACAGCAGTTTGAAATTGTCGCCAGACTTAAGACCGCGCCCACCAGACACGATCACCTTGGCACTTGTCAACTCGGGACGGTCAGATTTTGTAAGTTCGTGCGAGACAAATTCACTCAATTGCGAGGCATATTCGCCAGCTGGAGCTTGCTCGACAGTCCCGCTACCACCAGTAGCTGCAGCAGGCGCGAAATTCGTGCCTCTTACTGTGATCACTTTAACGGGATCCTTTGAACGAAGAGTCAGTATTGCGTTTCCTGCATAGATTGTACGCACAAAAGTGTCGTCGCTCTTTATATCGATAATTTCCGAAATGGGCGAAACATCCAGTTTGGAAGCAACGCGTGGCAGCACATTTTTACCAAATGCAGTGGCACCAGCTAAAATATGTGTAAATTTGAACTGTGATTGAGCAGCCAACACCAGCGGAGTGATAGATTCGGGCATGAAGCCCTTGAAAGCAGCATTCTCAGCAACCAACACCTTGGCAACTCCTTCGACCTTCGAAACTGCTTCAGATGCCTATAAATTAAGTAAAATAAAGATGCTTAGTAGTAACTTATGCAAACATACGAGTTTGGAAAATTTGTGCAACTGACATACCGGACCACATTTGGTTCCTGCTACCAGCACAGTAACGTCACCGCCAATCTTTTTTGCAGCTGAGATAGTGTTCAATGTAATAGGATTCAGCGCCTCGTTGTTGTGTTCGGCTACCACTAGAGTGCTTTTACAGCGGTGGAGCTGTAACGAGTGGGCAAATTGTTTTTGTAATCGATAGTAGAAAAGTCATGCAAATTTTTGCTCACCAAGCCGCTACGTATGAGATTCCTTGTATTGGAACTTAACATTCTCGTTAATTAAGAAGTATAAAATAAAACAAATATAAATAAAGCCTAATTTGCTCCACAAAGATAAGATCTTTCTAAATCGTAATAACTTTAATTGAACGACCTCTCGCCGATCGCCACGAAAGTCCAAAAGTCAAATGAACAATCGCAGCTGATCGTGGTGAAGTTCAACAGGGTTGCCACTGAAAAAAAATACCAATCTTTTGAAAAAAATTACCAAATCAGGAAAATATGTACCAAAAATTCCTTTTTAGTTATTTTAACAAATACTATAGATTTGTTCTACTTTTTTAGTTTTTCTAATACAAACTAAAATTTTTTGGTAATTCTCTAGTATAGGGTAACATCCGCTAAAAAAGCTCCGGAAAAGTCGGGAGGGGTACCAAACAACGTGTTTCGATCCCCTATTAACAATCCGGAGGGGGAGGGCTAATATTATTAACCATTTAATACTACGCTCGAATTGACGAGCTAAACATGTTAAATGGGCTTGAACCAGTTAAATGAACAAAACATGTTCATAAACAAGTTAAATCGCATGCAATTGTTGGAAAATTGAACCAGTTAAATCATTTAACTCGTTTGAAAACCAGTTCAGCGCAGAGTTGTATCAGAAAGCTTTTTGCTCCGACCAATCGGAAAGACCCAAAAGCTTTCATTTGACACGCCAACGTTCAAAAAATGTATATTCTGAAAAATATTAAAAATTATCAAAAAATGTCAAAATTGTATGCATGTCTCCCCGCCAAAAAAGAGGCCAAGGCGGTAATTAGTTATTTCACAAGAGGTCTCATCGAACGCAGAGATAAATAGTGCATACGAACTAACCATTTTGAAGTCTCTAAGTTATCCGTATGCGTTAATATCATGAAGCAGACATTCGCGCAAAACAAATTGTTGGTAATCAAACAACCGTCAAAGTTAACTCCAAATGTTCAATGTGGACGATTGTGTTTTCCAAAAAGCTCTTTCATTTAACAAGTTAAATGGGACCAGTTTGAACGTCATATTAAAGTTATAAACAAAAAACTTTTGTTAAATTTCGTTGTTTTGTATGGGCAATTACCCCATTATCTTGAAAGTAATGTCATAAAAATCACTTCATATTAACATAAAAAAGTGAAATAGCGGTATACAAATGCAATTTTTAAGCAATGTATTAAAAATCATTTAGTATGCATGCGGAAATACATCGCTTTTTCTTTTCAAGCAATTGAGGCTTTTGTGAGCTGTTATAAAATGCTCCAAAAAATGGTGGCATCACTATGTGACGTTTGACACTTGCTGTCGTGCGCGGTAAATGTCCAGGTAAATAATTTCTTAGCTAGAAGAAATAAACGTAATTTTGCTAAAGGTGATTGTAGTAATATCGTATAAAAGTTCATAATTCAAAGTTTGGTGTATAAGTGCTAAAATACTTTCTGCAAATCGCTCAACCACAAATATCGAGTTATGGTGTCCTCAATACCAGACAGGTGAGCATCCATCCAAAGGCCTTTCATGGGGCGAAAAGGTTAAATAAAAGACTATTATTCGTTTTATTAATAATTTTCCATAGATGGCTGAGCTATAAACCAGTCGGAAAACAGATCGAGGGAACACGCTTCATTGCCTTTAAAGTGCCGCTGCGTGAGGTGAGTCTTTAAAGCATAACCCTTAATAAGATTTTATATTAAAGGTGTATAACGGGCGTCCTTAGTAACTATCTCATCAACTATTGCACTTGACCCTGCAAAAGTTGAGAACTTTTTCGTTGTATTTGTCAAAATCTACCTTCATCAATTAAGCAAGAAACTTACATGATAAACCGGTTCTGAAATTGTAAAAGCCCCGTCCTTGCTACATGTATTTAGTACATACCTCTAAGGTTCAGTTAATTTATTCACTCATGTCAACACATAAACCTTTGAAATACATGCCGTAGCATACACCAACTTCGCGTTCATATGTACCATAAAACACTATAGGGATCCCACAGTACCCCACGAGTGTTTCAATCAAAATAAACTAAGGTAAATTAATTTTATGCGTTGAATTGTTTGTAATTATGCATAAAAGTGGCAACTGACATGTTTTACCGAAAGAATAACTTAAGAGCGATGCAAGGCAAGCATACCTCATGCAGTAGGTCAGCAGACCACACGCCTACTGGCTGCTCAGTACCAATTCGCCTGGTGCCGGAACAAGGAGTTGAAGCGCCAGTTCATATTAAAACTCAAGGAAAATATGAATATGAAATTAAATTGTTTTGCTTAATTAAATAACAGCAACTACTAAAGGTGACAGCGTTGGCATTGTCGGTGGTCATCTTATGCTCATGTTACCTGCAAGCCTTTCCTGTTGTCCCATTGTAATTTACTCAATTCCTTGTTTACACAACTTCAGCTTTCAGCATCATGCGTTTACTAAAGGCTCTGTTCAATTTCTTTGTGGCGGCTTAAAGTTAAATTTATATTAATTATACCACAGAAATTCGCTCGCAGGCACAACATGTCGCACCGCAAATACCGAGACGTACGCATACAATGTAAATATTTTATGGAAACTGTGGATATTTGTTCATACGTATGCCGAAGAGCTTTCTGCACTTTGGCGACTCCTTTTTATTTACTTATCGTTAATTAAGCAATTTATTTTGTTGGACATTTGGGGTGGTCGTTTTGTCGAATGGCTCGAGGCTCCACGTTGGTATTTTTCAATTTACGCCTTACATCAATAAAACGAGTTCATTTTCAAAACTTGAGTATATTCAAGATATTAACGCGAGTTGTTGCATAAAGCTTATTACTTCTATAAAAAAAGATTTTCAGATGACCGAAACATTTTTAAATCGAAAAGGAAATCGAAATGATAACACATCGAATTGTAGTTTACCAGCGTAGTTGACAAGTCTCCATATCGCTAGCTTAGAAAGAAAAGTTGCTAGGTCCACTTTTATAGATAACCATATTTTTGAATAGGAACGCATCGTTTCGAAAAGGATTTAGGTAGATGTTTGCTTTATTATTTCTTGTTTATTTTCAACGAAAGGCAGATTTGCTAAGTCCAGAAAAAAGACACTCAGAAAATCCGACAAATCCAAAATATTACTAAATCCTTTTTTGCTTTGATTTAAACACGCAAAATGGGATTTGCAATATTCTGGAAGAAAATGGCTCAGATTCCTTTCCTGTAACATACAAAAATGGTCTTATCAACTTTGCACTCGTAAGTTAGCGATTTGTTCGTTGTCACGACAGACCGTACGACGTAACGGGATTCATATCTGGCCAAGGACTGTCACTACAACGTCATTCCCCAAAAAGTCTTTGGATAGTTTGTACGCTGTTACAACAAGATTAAAAACTGTCTCTTCAGCATTATTCTCCCAAAATCTCTTGGGAATTTGTATGCCGTTGTAATAATAACAACGTCCGCAATATATTAGAGAAAATTAGTTGTTTGATTTAATTGAATTTTATCATTTGATCTATTTAATAGCGTGTTAACGAAAACGTGGATGAAGAACACCGACTCGATGCCAATATTTTATTGAAGACGGTTCCCAATTTGGGGATGATTATTGATTTGACGAATACCACCCGGTATTATAATCCACATGTAAGGAGCACACATATTTTATACTTTTAATATGCTGCATAGTCAAAAAAAATATCTTTCCTTTGCAGAATTTCAAAGATAAGGGTTTAGAGTACATTAAATTAATGATTCCTGGACATGATACGCCCTCACCGCGCATGATTAACCAGTAAGTTTTGAAAAGTATTTCCGGTATGAGGACGATTGTTAATAAATTCTTCTATTTACAGATTCAAAACTCTGGCGATGACTTTTTTAAACAATAACTCTGATAATGGTTAGTATAACAAGATGTCGGCCACCTATAGCGCCTTAGTTAAGAAACTAATTCATATCGTCGTTTAAAGTACAAAACCGCGTATCGTCATTCTGCAAAACCGCGTAACTGGCATTAGCTGCCAAGAATTGGATTTGCTCACACAAGCTCTTGGCTCAATCCTTATCCATTCGTCCTGATATATACTGGCTAGGTATGCGATTGCTTTATAAAAAGAGAACCATTTTGAAATATGGGTGTTTTTACTCTCTAGAAGATAATTTACATAATTTACATACGCGGTTTTGCATTATCTTGATACGCGGTTTTGCATTTTGTTGATACGCGGTTTTGTACTTTAAACGACGATATAGTTTTCCAACGTAGTGGAACGTATTGTATTTGCCATTAGCAGAGTTTTCTTTCTTTAATCAAAAGGCCTTAGGTGATGTTTGCTTGCTTAAAAAAAAATAAGCTTTTTGCTCATGCTGATTTCCCTAATTAAAAGTTCCCTACCACTGCTTAAACAATTTGTATATGTAGTATGTGTACTTAAAATACTATATACATAGGTAAATTTATCAACGCATGCATCTAAAACTCAGCGACAGTAAAACCAAAAGTCACGTGTTTATGCCAATTACGGGCCCATTGCAAGTGCACCCTCCTTTATTTGTACATGTGTTTATGTACTCTCATACCACCAGCAGCAGCCTGTCTTCATACTGTCATTTCGTGTCAGCTTCCTACGCGATTAAGACTACCTATCACCAATTAACCTAGACTTCTGCGACGTAAAACAAGACTCGACAACTAGTTTTTCAAATGGCTACTAGAAGAACGATAAGATTCCGACTTTGCAACTTGCTTTGAAGTTCTCACGTTTGCAGTGACAATAAAATTAAGTGCGTGCCTTTCGCTTAAGTTCAAGGCATTGTTGTTGTTGTTGTTCTTGTAGCGGCTACAACAACCCCGCCCAGATCGGTTGGTATCTCAGTCGTTGTCGTCAAGTTCCACTAACGGCAACCCTAGGAAGCGTGCAGCTTCTGTGGGCATTGTATTTTGTAGTGGTAATTCAAGGCGGTTTAACTTGCAATAATTTTTAATAATTTAGTTCTTTAAAAGCTCATAATGCGTCCGCAATTTTCGTTTGTCGGCATCATTGGATAACAGCTCTCGCTCCCCTCTAAAATATTTTTTTTTTTTTTTTTATTTAGCAAAAGAACAATTTGTGCGGCAATCAATAAATTTCGCGCATAAAACAAATCTAGACAAAAAATGCACATACAAATTAATATTGCAAACATAACGTTTTCAACAAGTAAAGCACAAATAACAACAAATCAATATTTGCGGTGGTCTTGCCATCAACACAGAACAACGAAAATACAATAGCAGACAAAAAGCAATGACGTCTGAAGGGGCGGCAAGTGAGGGCACAACAGCAGCAGCGGAGGTGGCAACCGTGGTCTGCGTTCGTTGGAGCTTACTTCCTTTTGACGCTGCGCATTGGTTGGATGTTCAAGCTATGGAAACATGACGAATCTCATGTAAGCTACGCATGCGTATAGCACTCACTCCTTTTAGCTGCACAAATGCTGCTGTTGCGCTGACATGTTTTTCAAAATTTATTGCCCATGTTAAACAGTGTGTGTATATGTATGCTGGTTGTTGTGCCGCGCTATGGTTGCTTCTGCTGCTGCTGTTGCTTTAGAAGCTGTCTCTTGCCATCGCTGCCGTTGCATCTTTGGCTTTCAACACGTTTTTATTGTTGCTGTCTCTTGAAATTATCCCATGGCTACGCAGTCGGCTGTGTTCGCAGCCACTCCATCGGCATCGTCTTTGGCCATACTCATTCTTCTGCACCGATCATCGTTTCATTTGAAGCTCAACGTGTGGGTGTTGACATATTTTTGCGGTTGGCTTTTGTAAATTAAATTTTTGCGGTCGATTTCTTACACTCACTTCTATATTTCGTTGCATTCTGCGGGCTTTGTGGGTCGCCAATGGCTTTGACTGTATATAATTTTCTACTTGCTGCTATTTAAATTGGTTATTGTGTGTGTGTTGTTTGGCCGACAACAAATAGTTCTGGAAATGAGTCAAGTTCTACATTTTTTGATAGCATCCTTTTTAAATAATTTGCACGTTTGGTCTATGTCGCTCACATAGGAATGCTGTGGAGGAAGTTTATGTACTTAACGAATTTTTTATAAGATAGGGAACATTCTGCTAAACATTTTAATATGCATGCTAGTTAAGACTTTGCTGTTGCCCATAGCTGTTAATTTGTTTGTGTTCTCTTTTAGATAAACTGATTGGTGTTCATTGTACGCATGGAGTCAATCGCACTGGGTTCCTAATATGTAACTACATGATCTCTGAGTTAGATATGAAGCCTGAAGAGGCGATAGACAGTAAGTAATTTTATCTAATTTTACATCACACACTCTTCATAAACGGGCTATCACTTAATCCATCGTGAAATCTGAAAAAATGCGCTCACTAAATACGAATTGCTACGAACCTAAGCTATATGCTTCGTTCATAGCTTTCGAATTAAGTGATAAGTGTTTTCGAAGATTTCACTTAAAATCGAACTAGATGGATTCGTTGAAAGCCCTGATTCGCCCATAATATACTTGTCCTCCGATTTGATTTCTGCATCAAGATATACACATATGTATAAATATCTTCTTAATTCTAAGTGAGAATTGATTTCACGAAAAGTCTTTTTCGTTCAGAAATATTTTCCCCCTTTTGCTCAACAAAAAAATAAAAATAAAAATAAAAATGTAATATTTTACTCGCACCTCATCGCGACAACGTTGGAAATTCCACTAAAAATCTTTTCATAAAAATCTTTCGTATTTTCCCTGTATTAGAATTCGCTGCTGCGCGTGGCCATAAAATCGAGCGCAGAAACTATTTAGTCTCCCTAAATCATTTAAAGAATGCGATCAAAAGTGACAACAGTGGCAGTCCGAAAAATGACTTCAAGGATGATTTGATCGATAACAACAAGCGAGCCATACGTTCCAATCAAACTCACAGCAAAGAGATTTCATCTTTACATTCACCTGCTCCAGAATCAGCATTACCGCCCTCAACAGAGGAGTTCGATAGGCGTGATCGATATGAGCGTTTTCGACAGGAATCGAATATGCAACGTCAGCGTCACACGAGTGCTGCCGTAACTGCAGCCGCACAATCCGAACAACAATATATGGATAATAACTTTAACAGCGCACAGGGCAATAGCTCGAACTATAACAGGAGATATGTGAATACTAGTCGTAACTGTTCGCAAGGTAATTTAATAAGGGATCTTTAGCGCGCCATTATCTCGCCTCATACATATGCTTTAAATTATCAATTATAGGTGGCGCAAATTATCCATACCATAATAATCATAACAGCTACGCGATGCACTCGAATAATAGTCATTCGCGTGCGCCTGATAGTCGCCGGTATGATGAAGAGCCAAGTCGTAGGCGAAATGAACATGTACCAAGCAGTAGCGATCGTTATAGTGGCGAACGCAGGCACGACAGACATCGATCTCATCCATATCGGCGCGTATAGCATATGATTAGACTAATATTTGCTTTAATTTTTTTAATTTTGAGTACATTTAATATTTTTTCTCACCTTTACTAATTAGACAAGTACAATTGTGGATGGTATGTTTCAATTATGTTCACTTGCTAATATTTGTGCCAAAATATTACAAGATACTGCCTACCGCTCCAAAATAGTAAATTTGGTTCTGCTTCCGCATTTGAACCATAGCAGTTGGTACATTTAATGGTTCCCAGCAAAATAATTTGGCTGAATTCAGTGTCACTCGTTCAGAAATTTTAAGAAAAAGCAATTGCTTAGTTTCTATTCATACGGCCCAATATTAAATATTGAGAATATAATTAAAACTTTAAAGTCAGAAATATACGAGTATTCTCAAAAAGCGACAATGGGCTCAGAGGTGACGAAGTTATTTAAGTTTTCATGAAAATCGCATTGNTTATAATTGAATCATGATGGGCTCAGAGGTGACGAAGTTATTTAAGTTTTCATGAAAATCGCATTGAAAAGAAACAAATTGTTTCGGTGGGAACTAGTAAATGGACTAAATTGTATGATTCACTTAGGAAAAATATACCCAATTCGCGCGGCAGACTACATACACATATGTATATAGATATGTATGTTTATAAAGTGCATAAAATGCTGACTAAATTATGAAGCTATAATTTTTATCGTATAAATGAATTTTATTTAACCATTAAAGAGTATTGTATGTCTTTTTTATTCGCTATGCCTAGCAAGGGAATCTTCAATTTAATTTTGGGCTTCTAAAAATGCCATTTCATACTTTTTTTTACCTATTAAATATGTAAAAATTATAAATATCTAGCTTAAATGACTTTTTGCTAAGAAATTAAATACATTTGAAGAGCTTTATTAAGTGATATACAGATGCGTGCAACTAATTAGCAACGAAATTCAAAACGATATTGCTTGCAAATTATGTTTATTTATGTATTTTTAATAATTTTCATTTAAAATATAATTCAATCTATAACAGAAACCACAATAACAAAAGTTGCAAAGCTTGCACAAATTGCAAAAAAATTAATCGAACTTAAAAAAAAATCGTCATCAAAATTTCAAAATGTTTAATTAGAATATATAAAAAATGTTGGGGTATGCAGTTTTGTAGCCCATTCAATTTTAGTATAATAAAGTGGAAGTTTCAAGTCGCTAAAAATTACCATTGATTTTTTAGAATTTTTTTTGTCGAGGGTGTTGCGGATTTTTTTCCATGTAAAAAAAAATTTTGATCATGTGTTATATGGAAGAAAATGCGCAACACCCTCCACAAAAAAAAATTCTAAAAAAATCAACGGTAATGTTTAGCGACTTGAAACTTGCACTTTATTATACAAAACTGCATACCCGAAAATTTTCTAAATAGTCTAATTAAAAATTTTGAAATTTTGATGACAATTTTTTGAAGTTTGATTAATTTTTTTGCAATTTGTGCAAGCTTTGCAACTTTTGTTATTGTGGTTTCTGATATAGATTGAATTATATTTTAAATGAAAATTATTAAAAATAAATAAATAAACATAATTTGCAAGCAATATCGTTTTGAATTTCGTTGCTAATTAGTTGCACGCATCTGTATATGTACATGCATCTTATGTATATCAAATAATTTTTCTACTCATAAAGCCTTTCAAATCTATTTTGTTTTTTAATCATATAACTATTTACATATCTACATACATACATGGCGTTAACATCACATGTCATATGAAATGTATACATATTGAAGTATATAATCTGCACGAAAAAAATAACAAATCTGCGTTTCCCTGCAACGCATTTATTGCATGAAAAATGTATAAAAATATCATATTTATCTACAGCCTTTAAAGCGCAATCGCTCCACTGACCAATTTCATACCCAAAGCGCGACAAGATGTTTATCGAAATCGTGATGAAAAATTATGTATGTAACTTGTTTCGTTGTAATTACCACCAATTTGTCGTTGTCACAGAAATGCGGCGGCAATTTGACACAGCCACATAGCTCATATGCAACTTGTTATTATAAATTTAAACGCACAATCGCACACCCATATATGGATATGGTATAAGTACACCTTCGTCTGAGCAGAAACAGCGCTGCAACACTTGAGCTCGAAACAAGATCATCGGCGCGATAAGCTGATGAGCGGCGAATTGTTAATGCAAAATATCATATAAAATACGTACAAATGTGGAAGTAAAGCAAAAAGGAAACTGAGCACATACATATGTACACCCATGTATACTTCATACAGCCATATGTAGATATGGTATATGCTAATGTGACACTTGACCACCATGACGAAATAATAATGAACTGATCAAGTGCGCTAAATGTGCGCATACAAGACAGTGGCAAAAAGCTAAAATACAGCCAGCCAAGTGGTAAACGGAAGATGGACGCGCGCCTTTGCCCCACAGCAACTAAGTGACATATGTTTGATAAACGAGCTGGATTGCAAAATTGTGATTCCGGGAAAATACTCGCCTTAGGATGCATGTAAATGGTCGCATATCTTCACACGATCTTCGCTGATCTTCTTTAGCGATTTGCAGAGGAACTTGCAGCCGCACTTCACATGCATGTATGTAAAAGGAGATGTTTGCTGCTGATAAGGCGCATCACAACATGTCAAGAATTGGCGAAAGAATCAGATTTTCCTACCTGCTTGTCGTAAATGAATTTTAACTGGTTGTCAACTTAAGCGCTTTTGTTTCGCCCGATGGGTAGGTCGAGATTGGAGAATACATGCACATACAAACATACATACCATAACAAACAGATCTAAATACGTTTCTATACATATAAGTATGTATGTAGGTAGGTACATATATCTTACAGAAATAATTATAACACGCTGGACTTGTTATTAACATTGAGCGGCAGAGCTGAAAACTGCTAAAATATGGGTCAATAAAAATTTGAAAATATTCTTTACTTTCCAGCAATCAGCTAACATAAAAAGTATACGGGAATTAAAAAAACATTAATTTATATGAATTGTTGTATTATCTTATGCTCAGATATAATAATTTCCTTGTAAAAGTAGCTATTTTCTTACAAAAAGGTCCAGAAGCCGAATGGAGAAAAAGGTTTGTATAAAAACAAATGAAGAATTTTAGATATGTCTTTATAAATAATAAATAATAAATAAATTATGTATTTCATTATGAAAAATGTCTTTAGTCGTGTCTATTTTATTATTTGAAACCCTGTCAAAAGCATATTTCTTTGATATAATTCGAGGAAATTTGGAGTTGCTCAAATTGTAGGAAAATAGCTGAATTCTAGCCTAAAAGCGCATACTTCCTGTCATTCACATGGAAATGGTCGCGGACACGTTCCACATCCGGCGCCTAAAAGTATGCAATGAATTTTAGCTTCCGGNGTGGAAATGGTCGCGGACACGGTGCACATCCGGCGCCTAAAAGTATGCAATGAATTTTAGCTTCCGGCAGGAAAAATTTCTGCAGGAGCCGCCTGCTCCACGGTTATGGGCGCCTGGTGGAAATTCTTAATTTTAGCAACCGAACCGGCGGTCGTCGAGTACACTGAGAAAAATTTTTGTGAAAAATAAAAAAAATTTTGCGGGAGCCACCTGCTCCATGGTTATGGGCGCCTGGTGGAAATTCGGAATTTTAGCAACCGTACCGGCGGTCGCCGAGTACACTGAGAAAAATTTTTGTGAAAAATAAAAAAAATTTTGCGGGANAATTGCGGGAGCCACCTGCTCCATGGTTATGGACGCCTGGTGGAAATCCGGAATTTTAGCAACCGTACCGGCGGTCGTCGAGTACACTGAGAAAAATTTTTGTGAAAAATAAAAAAAATTTTGCGGGAGCCACCTGCTCCACGGTTATGGGCGCCTAGTGGAAATTGGCAATTTTAGCAACCGGACCGGGGGTCATCGAGTACACTGAGAAAAATTTAGTGGAAAAAAATAAAGTTTTTGCGGGAGGCGCCTGCTTTATAATTAGAGGTGCCTGGTGGAAATCGGGAAGTTTATAAACCGGAACGGCGGTCGTCGAGCACACTGAGAAAAATTTTAGTAAAAATTTAAAAAGTTTATGCAACGCAACTACTTCGGGATTTTTGGGACTTATTCGGAATTTTGGGGACTATTTCGATATTTTCGGGGTTCACGGGTATATATTGGGATTTTTGGGACTATTTTGAAGTTTTCGAGACATCTTTGGAATTTTCAGGATTTTGGGAATAATTCCGTATTGTTGAGACTATATCGGGTTTTGCTAGACTTCTTCGGGGGTTTTCGGGAGTTTTGGACTATTTCAGAATTTTCAAGAATTCTTGGGGATTTTATGAACTACTTGGAGTTTTTCGAGACTACTTCGATATTTCCGGGGTTCTCGGGAATATTTCGGGATCTTAGGGATTTCTGGGACCAATTCGGAACTTTTAGGACTATTTCGGGTTTTTCGGGGTTCTCGGGAATATACTGGGATTTTTGGGACTATTATGGTATTTTTGAACCATTTCGGGACTATTCCCGCTTTTTCGAGCCACTTCGAGATTTTCGGGGTCCTCGCTACTAAATCGGTATCTTCGGAACTACTTCGGGATTTTTAGGACCAATTAGGAATTTTTAGGACTACGTCGGGATTTTGGGACTATTTTGGTATTTTTGGGACAACGTCGACATTTTCGGGGTTCTCACGAATATATCGGGATCTTTGGGACTACTTCGGGGTTTTTGGAATTCGGTATTTTTGGGGCTATTTCGGGATCTTGGAGAATTTCTCGGTATTATAGACTATTTCGGGGGATCCTCGGTACTAAATCGGGATCTTCGGGACTACTGTCGGATTTTTGGCACTATTTCGGGTTTTTCGAGAATACTTCGAGATTTTTGGGTATTTTTCGGAAATTTTGGGACAACTTCGATATTTTCGGGAATATCGCGATTTTTGGGACTATTTCGGGATAGTTGGAACCAATTTTGAACAAATATCGACGTTGTCCCAAAAATTCCCAAAATAGCACAAAAACCCCGAAGAAGTACTGAAGATCCCGATATATTCACGAGAACCCAAAAATCCCGAAGATATCGATAGAATCCCGAGAACCCCGAATAGTCCTGAAAATCCCGAAGAAATCTCGAAATAGTCCAGCAATCCGGAAATAGTTCCAAAAATCCAAAAGTTGTCAAAAAAATCCCGTTATATTCCAGAGAACCCCGAAAATCCCGAAGTTGTCCCAAAAATCCTGAAAATCACCAAGTAGTTTCGAAAAACCCGGAATAGTCTCAAGAATCCCGAGAAAATCTACAAAATCCCGAAATAGCCTCAAAAAACCGAATTGGTCCCAAAATCCCGATGGAGTATCGAAAAAGCCGAAGGAGTTCAAAAAACCCCGAATTAATACCAAAAACCCCGAATTAGTCCCGAAGATCCCGATATAGATAGATTTATTTGAGGGTGTGCACTGCGGTCTATAAATGGATTTTTATCAGGACGAATAATGTCTTTTTTTGTTAGCTCATATACTTACCAGTTTTTTTCCAAAAAATTAAACACCACCAACAAATATTTCATACGCAAACATTTATTTATGCTTCGTTTTATTTGTCATTTATTGTTTTACTTAAAATAAGAATTTTTATAAATTTTCTACAAAGTTTGAAATTTCGATTTAAATGTGTTTTTAAGATAGTAGAATATATGTAGCTAATTTCATAAAAAATAATAAAAAATTTTTAAACAAACAAAAATAGCCAAACTTGCTAACATGTCTACACCCTGCGACAAAAGATAATCATCACAAAAGATACGACATCACCATTTTCACCAGTTTTGATTACTTTTCTTTTGCTTACTCGAAATCTCCAATTTTCGACCTACGCGGTTATTCCTTTTGAGCTAAAATGTGTTTATATTTTTTATAATTTTTTTTTTTTTTATCTTTAAAGATTTTTATTAGCAATT